CCTTCCTTCCTTCCTTTCTCCCTCCCTCCCTCCCCTCCTCCCTCCCTTCCTTCCTTCCTTCATTAGTTATTTATTTTCTGAGGACTGAACCAAGGGCCTTGTGCATGCTACACATATGCTACCACTGAGGTAGACTCCAGACCCTAATTTTTTGTTTGTTTTTGAGACAGGGTCTCAGTAGGTAGCCCCCTGGCTGACCTAGAACCTGCTCTGTAGAGAAGTGGCTGGCCTTGCAACTCACGGAGATCCGCCTGGCTCTGCCTCCCGAGTGCCGGGATTAAAGGTGTACGCCACCACTGCTGGCCCAGCTCCTATATTTTAAACTGCGCTTACATACTTAATTGATTTATTTTCTTTCTTGCTTTCCATGAGGATGCTGTAAGCGGCAGGAGGGATTTTTTGCTTGCCCGTGGCACTGCTAAATGTTTGATAATGGTGTGTAGGGATACAGTAGACACTAAATAAACGCCTGTCTGGCGAGCGTGCTGACTACTGAGAGGCTAGCCAGAAAGAGCAGAGTGTAAGTGGCACCTGGAGTGAATCTGTGCATCCATGGGATTACCTCTTTAGCAGGAACCCAGAAGCCACAGACCACCCCACTCTTCTGTAGGTGGTGGGGAGGCTTGGGCTTGCTGTGAGGATGGCTTCACTTGCTTGGCGCTCACCTGTGGGCCACATCTGCCCAGCTGTGATACTGTTCCTGCTGCAGGATGTCTGCAATCTCGCCCAAGGCTTGGAAGCGCCCTTCCTGGGGCAGGATGCGAGCCTCTAACATGCTCAGCCTCTGAGTGGCTGCCTCCCCTGTGGTTGGCTTGGTGAGGGAGTCTCTGGCCTGGTCTAGCATCTGCTCTGACTCATTTAAAAAGCTTTCCCGGAGGGCTGCCTTGCACTGGAAGCGGCGGGCCAGACTGTCCAGTCGCTCTAGCTGTAGCAGCCTGTGCTGCACGGCCTGGCTCCTGGAGGCCTCTGCCCTCTCTAGTTCCGCCCAGCGCCGAGCCAGGTCTGCTGGGCCCAGGCCCTCTCGAGGTAGGAACGGCCTTCGGTTTTGGGCTCGGAGTGTTGTCTGCAGCTGGAGGAGCAGAGCCTCGATGGCTCCTCGCTGCTGCAGCCGAGGTGGCTTTTCCTGGGTATGGAAGGAGGCAAAGGCTGCCAGGAGCTGGCGCATGGCAGGCAGTGAGTCTGGGAAGTCCCGCGCCTCCAGCTGCATCTGCTTCTCTTCAATCCAGTAGAGCAGGTCAGCCGCCAGCTGCTCGTATTGAGACTGTAGTGTCTCTGTCTCCTGAAGCTGCAGCAGGATCTGGTGAGGGGCAGAGCACTGGTCAGCCACACCTGGGGCGGGCCTCAGATCGAAAACCCCGCTGCTGGGCGCTATGAGCCAGGCAGAGCCGTCCAGGTAGGCTGGCGCTCCTTCTCTCGGCTGAGGATGCACAAAAATATCCCCCCTCGCAGCCCGCAGAGTGTCAGGCACATTGTACACTCAGACCCAGGAGTCTGCAATACTCTCTCGACAACTGGTCTGAGACCACATCTTGCCCTCCTCCATCTGATTTTGCCCCTTCAGCCTCATGTGCAGGTTGAGACCCTACAGGCCGTTTCCCCCACTCAGCCTTCTTGTCCCATTTTCCCTGTGTCCCCACCCCCTAAATCAGCTCCCAGTTCTTGACCCCACACCAACATTAGGACACTAACCCTGAGGACCGCCCTTCCGGGTCTCAGACTCTGCCATCGCCTCCATAGTGTGAGAGAGCCCCCCAAAAGCATGGACTCAGCGTAGCGCCTGCTCGACAGAGCCTCGGCTACGCCTGTCCTCGAAGATTTAGTTCTCTAAGCCTTTTAATCCCATTAGAAGCTGAACAGCTTTTGAGGGCAGTGGAGGCAGAGGGCCAGAAAGGGCCACTGCTCCCCTGGCTTCTCATGTATGCCAGGTACCACAGATGCTAGGTACTTTATTAACATTCCCTTGGACACTCAGGACAGCCTCCATCAGTCAGGAGTTGTAACTACTCTGTCACAGATGGAGCACAGAGACGTGATTTGGCCAGGGCCATGGAGCCAGTAAGGCACAGGGACAGCCAGTCAGACAGCCCTGACCCCCGCCCCCATTCACCAACCTTCGCCAGCCTCCTCTGGGCCGTCTGGCCCTGGTGCAGCCGGGAGAAGTAGTGGTAATACAGGGACACATAGGTCATGATGGAGCGCTCATCTGGATGCGGGGCGGCCACATCCTCAGGGTCCAGCAGCTGAGCGATGCCTAGCTCCTGCTCAGCCACTCGGAAGGCAGAGGAGAGGTTGTGCAGAGGGTGATCCAGACTCAGGGAGCCATAATCCAGCAGGTCTGGCCTGGGCAGAGAGCAGGAAGCTTCCTCAGAAGAACGGCATGTTTGGGCTGACATCAACCGTCCACTGCTTATCATGACAGTGTTTTTCCTCGGATGGTTCTGTGAGCCTCAGGCTGGAGTACAGGAAAGCTTGATGGGAGGGAGGGTTAATGTGGCAGAGGGGCTAGGGCCCAGGATGTGGTAGAGCATCCCCAAAGGGCAGACATTAGCTAGAGAGAGGACCGGGAAGAAACAAAGCACAGGACGTAGAGAAGGCAGGGATCAAAGGCAAAGCTCCTGGCTCTGGCCCCTAAGGGAAGGAGGAGGGGCAGGCCTAGAGCAGGGATCGAACCCAGGTACTTTCCATTTATGGCCCACTGGTCCTTCTCTCTCCAGGCTCAGGGGTGCAGAGGGTGTGTGGATGCACCTGTGAGCGTGGAGGAGGGCATTGAAGCCAAGGCCGTCGCTCCAGCTGCGGGAGAAGTCGGTGATGTTCACATTGGGGTAGCTGACCGTCTTGCGCTGGCACCACACCAGCAGGGCTTCCTTAGCAGACAGCCACGCCGCACTGGCCCCGAACTCCTCCTGGCGGAACAGGGCCGTGTGGTCAATGTGCTGGGTGGGCGGAAGGTATCAGCGCCTGCAGGCTGCAGCCAGGGAGAGGCTTTGAAGCCTGGACAGGGGCTTTATTAAGAGTGAAAATGCGAGTGATAGGGAGAGATTGGGGGGGGGCAGGGGCACACTGAGACTCCCCATGGAAGGGATGATGGGGGAAGGCCAAAGGAACCTCTTCAGATAGCGGCCTTCATCTCTGGACCAAATGCCCAAGCAGTCTTCCCAAGGGGTCTCGGACAGATCCCCAGGACAAAGGAAAACCCTGTTTTGTTTTACTCAACACACACACACACACACACACACACACACACACACACACACACACACACATTCATTATATATATATATATATAAAACCTTTTAGGGATGGTGGGAAGATCGGCAGCAGGTGACTTAGTTCCGTTAGTGTATGCAGCCAGGAACATAGAGGAGCCACATATCATACTGAGAGCTGTCAAGACACAGCCTGGATTGTTCCATAACTGTCCCAGACCGAGCAGCCAGGAGGTGTAATCTGATTCAGGGTATGAGATCAAGTCTAAGGAGGAGGCCTATGGTCTACCACTCCAGGTTTTAAAAGAAAGTCTCTCCCCCCCCCCTTAATGCCCTACCATGGTATTTTTAGTGTAATGTACTATGTTTAGTACTATATTTAGTATATTTCTTTTTCATACTTCCCCACCTCAAGGCCCTTCCTAATAAAGCTAATTCCTGAAGAGTAATTATGTGTCGGCTCCTTTCACTAACCAACAAGCCTTCTGATGGGCCAGCCGTGAAGCTACCTGAACTGAGGCCTCACAGAAGAGAAGGTGGGCCTACTACACTCCTGTCACCCCAGGCACAAGCCTTTTTACCTCAGCTCTCTGTCCTCTGTGGCCACTGTTAGCACGTCTACACCTCCATACACCACGGAGGTGGAGTCTCTTTATATATTCCATTTCCTCTGGTGGGGCCGGTGAAGTGTGTAACAGGACACTGTCCAGGATCCCAGCGAATCAGGGAGAGGGCCTGAGGTGGCTGCAGAGGGCGCTGGGAACTGAACTCAGGTCGTCGGGCTTAGCAGCAAGTGCCTTTACCCACTGAGCCAATTCATGGTGAGTTTGAGAGGCCTCCCGGAAGTCTTAGACCCATGACTTTTGTATTAGGGTCTCACTCTCCAGCTTGGCTTGTCCAACCCATTGGCATGGAGTTGGGGGTGGTACTTTGGAAATCATAAAATAGACACTTGATGATATAAGGACATTCTGCTTGTATTTTCTGGCCCAGGTGGAGGAGGAAAGAAGGGCTAGGGAAAGATGGAGACATAGAAAATACTGCCTCGGTGGTCTTCAAGATCCTGGGGACTTCATAAACTCTGAGCGAGGGTCCCTTTGTATATCTAATCTCCTCTGCTGGTGAATTATGGCATAGTGAAGGCAGGGATTCAGTGCCAAACAACACACCAGGAACGGAAACGGTTGGTGGCCAGCCACTGCTTGTCACCAGTGAGTGACTTGTCCCAGGTCAGTATGAAGTCCTGACTACTTCTTATGTCAGTCAGCACATGGCAACATCCTGGGTTCTTTGTCCCGGATGGAGAGTGAATGTTCATTTAATGAACACCAAGGGTGGAACCGCTCTGTCCTGAGGGGCCTGAAGTGAAGGCAGGGCTGGGTTAGGCCATGAGGTACTGGAGAAAGAGACATACCCTGTCCAAGGAGATGTGAGAAATCTGGAAACGCAGAATGATGACCCAGAGGAGTCCCAGGATGAGTGACTGGTCTCCATCCACAATGTTCTCTGGCCCGATGAAGGGTATGGGCACCTGTGGGCATGGGTGATTGGACTAAGCCGTGAAGCCTATGTTCCTGAGAAACCTGGAGTCCAGGAGGCTGTGAGATGGGAAGGTCCTAGAATCCAGCCTCCTCCAGCCAGAGGTCCTCCAGGGAGACAGGCAGTGGACAATATCAGGGAAAGGACAGCTTTCTGAAGAGTTGGGACATTGGCCCAAGTCTCCCTGGGTGTCCTCGAAGCAGGTAAACTAGCCTGGGCAGTGGACCCTCATACGTGGAAATGGGGGGTCTCAAGTGAGCTAAACAGACAACAGCCAGTGTCTGCGCCTCCTCCTCCCATTGCCGCCGCATCTCAAGGGGGTGGCTAGGTCCCTGGATCACCCCCAAACCTCAGTCTTCAGTCAGTATTTCAACTCCAACAGAACTGTTAGGAATTCAGGGTCCCCAACTCCATCCATCCAGATTCTCTAGAGCCCGGGCCCAGGAATCTGCATTTGAGCGAACAGTGGATGGCACTGTGAGCACTAAGGGTGAAACCTCTGGTCTAGATCTTGTTCCTTAGAGGAGAGGACTGGTTAATTCAGGACAGATAGAGCAGGGACTCACAGGATCTGCCTGGTACCCTCTGGCTCCATCTTCTCTACCGAATCATGTGGCACCAAGGCAGAAGAGTTCTGAGATCAGGACTCCGGCTTTGCTTGTGGCAACCCTGGTGCCTGATTCTAACACAGGCCTTAGAGCCCTGGCACAGGCTGGCTGTCTCAGCTGTCTGAAAATATTACCCCCAGATGTCCACACGATTATTCCCCTTTCATCCTTTCAGCCTCCAGTTTGGTATCGCTTTGCCCACATGGTCCATTTCAACCATCTTATTTGAAGCTGAAACCGTGCCTTTCCTTCCTACCCAGACACACGCATCTGCTCCGTCTCCTACCACATAAACAGACACCTAGTACACACTCCTACTCTCATGGCGGGGGTGCTGGTTTCACTCCCCACTGCATCCTCAATTCTTCGTAGAATTTTATTACTGGCATATACCAGGTCGCTGCGATGACCCTGAACGAACAAAGGAGAGACGCCCTGTAAGACCAGAACAGCTGTGAGCGGCTCTCCGGGCCTGCGAGAGGAACGTCACCAGCGCTGCACCTTGTGGGTGCACTCTGCTGTACCTCACAGGTCTCTGAGGATCGTAGCCTGAACCTCCCCCTCTTCCTGGCCCACTCAGCCCTCTGAATTCACCTTAGCGTGGAGGTGTGACACCCAGCTAAAGGAGAGCTCCTCTGTTCCAGCTCGCCAGCATCAATTCTCCCAGCTTCAGGTTTAGCAATATCAGCTGATCAATGAACTTGATCGTGATGGGGGGAAATCAGCAAATGTACAGACTTTGGTGTGGTGGTAGTGGTGGTGGTGTCTGTGCATATAGGTGTTGAGACATTATTATTTTATGTTATTATTCTGTGTTACCCAGGGTAGCCCCAACTTGAAATCCTCCTGCCTCAGCTTCTTTAGTGCTGGGACTAATGATGGGAACCACCACACCCAGCCTAGGAATTACTCAACAACTGACTCTAGGGGAATTAAAGCTGTGGTTGAGCTGGGCTTGGGGCGACTCCCTCATCCAGTCTTGACTGCAGTCGCCTCGGATGGCTAGAGAGTCGAGGCTATCACCTCCACAAGTGTCAGTGGCCTGCTGTATAACAAACTCATAAGGAAGCTGGGTGTGGAGGTACATTCCTGTAACCCCAGCATTTGGGATGTGGAGGTAGGAGGGTCAAGAGTTCCAGGCCAGCATAGGATACAGGAGTTCTGAGTAGTCTAGGCTGCACACGTGACCTGTCTAAAACACCACCACCACTACCAACAGCGCAAGAAGAGCTGCAGGCCTCACATCCGTCTGGATTCCTCGAGGGGACGGCCATTGTCACTGGATCTGAACAGGGCCCGGCTTGCTGCTGCTCTAGGTGCTGGGGAATCACAGTTGCTCCCCCTCCAATGGCTTTTGTCCCCCTTGCTTCCAGGCTCCAGGGTGCTGCATGTCACTTCCATCAGGACACAGGAGCCAGGCATACTTAGGCTCAGCCCAGCTTGAGCCAGCTCCATGGCTTCACAACTTCTGGGCCAACTACCTCCCATCTTCAGCTCCCAAGGCCAGGAGCCAATATAAAAGGGTCCTGCACAGCCCAGTGGCGCTGGTCACGAGGGCCCCTCTGTGCCGTGGGAACTCCTGCCTCTTTTTATGACCATCTCTTTGATTTGTGTCTTTCCCAGGTGACTCCGGTGCCCTCCTGAAACCCTTCTCTATGCCAGCCTCCTGTGGGCACACCTGGGCCCGGCTGACCATGGATCCTGCCTGATAAATCATTCTGGATCTGTATGTCCAGGATCAAGAAATGAGAAGATTAAGAACACCCAGACACTTTCAGCCAAGAATGCTGCAATCCTCCCTTATCAGACAGGGATGTTTTCAGTCCTGATAGGGATCTAGATTGTTCCTGCTGTGGCCAGCTGGTGGCCGTCTAAGTCAAGTGCACCGTGCAAGGAGAGCTTTGTTGCTGGCTCTTGAGCCTCGGCTGCACCTCCCGTGTTCAGGCCCAGATCTCCTGCTCGGCCTGAGGCCTAGCCCTCATTTGATGACCTCTGGATGCTGCTCACCCAGCTGTCCACACAGAACCCCCTTCCCAGAACAAACCTTGGCCCTGAGGAAGGCCAGTGCATGGCTGCTGTTCTCCAGGAAGTGCACACGCAGGCGGCCTGGGCTGGGCGTTGGCAGGGCCTCCCCGGAGATAAGCTCCAACAGCCGCAGTAGGTGGGCACCGTCAGAAAGCTCTGTGTACAGGTTCTGGATCCTGACGCCCACCTGGGGAGTGGATTGGGGCAGATGTGGGGTCAGCCCAGCAGCCCCTCATCACTCCATTTTAAAGCCCAGGAGGTCAGGCTAGAACAGCTACAGGCCGGGGATCCCACAGCAGGCCCCCAGGTCACCACTGGCCAGAACTGGAGGCACCCAGGCCATACTTACCCGGCCCAGTCGGAAGATGTTGTTGATCCATTTGGTAAAGGTCTTCTCCTGCATCTGTGCGTGCTGAGCCTGGAGCTTGCGGACATGGCTAATCTCATACTCAGAGTCCATTGCCAAACTCAGACTCGGCAGGGCTGAGCTGCGGGCCTGGGCCTCCTCCTCAGGGACACTGCTGCTAAGGAGCTGGAGGGTTGAGAGGACAACCAGCCTCTGGACCTATAGCTCTTTGAGGGCGAATGGCTACTGGACATTTCCCCGTGTCTGGAGGTGGTGGGGGCATGGAGGCTCGGGAGCGCTGTGGGTACTGATGAGCTTCCTGCCAGAAGTCTGGGGCCCTGTTCTGCCAAGGTCCCCGTGAAGGGTAGGAATTATGTCGAAACCCAAGCAGGTAAGAAGCCTGACTGGTAGCCTGCACTTGAATGACCCAGAGCCACCCCACCCCCAACCTTCCAGATTCTTCTCCGAACCCCTGCCGCTAGTCCTATGCCCCAGCCACTGGTCCCTGTTCTTTGGCTTAATTTTGGCAGGCAGAAGGAAGACGGGCCGCTCACCTTGGCCGTTGATGTCTGGGTCCTCGCTAGGGTGCCCCACTGTCGGATTGAGACACAAGACAGCAGGGCCTGGGGAGTGAGGGAGAGAGAGGACCAGAAAGGTCAGGCTGGAGCTGGGGCCACAGCCTGGCCCTCCCCTTTGCCAGCCTGTCAGGGGTAATGGCACACAGGCAGCATTGTCCTCCCACCTGCTACAGGGCGGAGCCCAGACAGGAGGAGGTGGCTCAGGAATGTGCTTGGCTTATTGGGAGGGGGTCCCCTTCATTCTTTACCCCATCCCCTGGCTGCTTCCCTGCTTAGCAGGTGAGGGGCTGATGGTCTTGTTGGCTCTGGGGAGAACCTTGCAGGCTGCTGAAGTCTGAATGGGGCATCAGTGGTCAGGGCTTCTGGATGAAAGCTGTGGACTCACCTCCTCTGTGCACCCCATCCCGGGATGTCGGGAGGAACGCACTGACTGACAGCCCCTCCCTAACCTGAGAACAGCCACAGGGAGCTGTAACATCCTGTACTCAGCTTCTCAGGCTCTGACCAGATCTGGGCCACACGCTCAGTTCAGCCAAGTATTGAGAAGGCAGCCGGTGACTGTTGAATTGTGACAGGCAAGAGTACCGGGAAAAACAGCTTCGGGGGGTAGGGGGCAGCTCCCGCTTACTGCTCCCCTGTAACCAAGAACCCCCTCCCAGAGGCTGTCTGCCAGAGACTCTGCTCTTTCATAAGCCTTGGTCACAGGGACACCTCCCTGTACCCGCTCCCGGAGCCTCCATCTCAGAGACTGTGGGCCCAAGTTTAGTTAGTTGTATGCAACCCGGGGCAGGTGTGCATTCTTCCTGACTGCAGTACAGGAGGAACACCCCCTGCATGGCCTGCCTGGAGCCCCAGACACGGTCAGCTCCAAGGAAGACTCTGGAGGAGACGCACAGTCTTTCAGGTCCAATCCCTGTTTTGTAGGGGAAGCCTCGTCTTCACCATTCCATCCTGGAGGTGCCCAGTCTCATCTGTAAGGGAAAGCTTTCAGAAGAGTCTTCCAGGTCTGAGGGAATCCATCCTCGGCCCCTCTGGGTTTGTGTGAGGCCAGACAGAGCTATATGACTCCTTGTTGATAGGGTTAAAAAGAACAACTGCTTAGTTGTTGGATGTGGGGCTGGAGGGATGGCTCAGTGGTTAAGGGTACTCTTCCAGAGGCCCTGGGTTCGGTTTCCAGCACATGCAACTTACAGCCACCCAAAACTCCAGTTCCAGGGCATCTGAACTCTTCTCGCTTATGCAGGTACCAGGTACTCCTACAGCACACATAGTTACAGGCAAGCACTTGGACACATAAAATAAAAAGAAATAAATCTTTAAAAAAAATATAGAAGTTGTTGGATTGGGACTAGAGGACTGCTCTCCTCTCCCCCTGCTCCAATGGCAGCCAGAGCCACCACTGATTGTACAAGGACCAACTCCTCTTTGGCTGTGAATGATTAAGCCCTTGGTGAAAGGACAGTGTGGTTTGGAATCCTTGCCAAGTGACTGAATTTTCTATTCGAGCTGGATGGAGTGGTATAGATGGAGTGTACTGAAGAACAATCTAGCAGGAACAAGCCTTCGGGTGCTGTTTGATCCAGCATCCCCAATGACATCACTGCAGATCTGGGTGTCCTATGCCTTGCTCAATGCCTCCTTTCGGCCAGCCCAACGCCCTCCCTATCCCCCTCTTCTCAATGCCATTTATAGCCTTGTACCAATAAGGCCCCTGCTTTACATTATAGTTCTAGAGAAGAGGGAAGATGGAACGTCTTTCTAAGTGTTGGGGCTCTTCACAATTGAGTTAGGAAACGTGATTATATTTTTGAACTGGTGTCTCTGACTAGAGGGATGAAATACTTTAATTGGCTTAAGCTAGACAGGCTCCATCCTGGAAAGAGGAGAGGGGTCTACTGTACCCAAACCTCATGGTTCAGGGTGATAATGAAAAGGAATACGCTGTGCTGAATGACAGCCCAGGCTGGCATCATCACAAGGGTGCAGGG